TGTATGTATGTAATGTGAATAAAACATTATTCTAGTAAATTCATTTTGATTGCCTAATATAAAGAATACAATGGGATAGAAGAAAAAAAGATATTTTAAGATTTATCGTTTCCATTATCAGCATAATTTTATTTCCAAAAAAATATTTAGCAAATAAGGTTTGTGAAGTCGAGACATGGTTCTATAATGATGCAATTAATTAAATTAAGTATTAACGTTTACTTTAAAATTAAAAGTTGACAAATTACAATATTGATATACTCGTATATTGCTTCAAAAGAAAAAAAAATACAAATAAACTATTAACAGTGAGTCATATACCTGAAAGTACCTAATTAGATCAAAATGTGAACTAAATTTTTTTATAATATTTGGTCAATTTTACATTTACGATACTATATTTAAAAATATTCTTAATGAAAAACGCTTAAATAATCCACTTTGTCCCTGTTACTCTGAGATGGGATTCGAATCCACTCGCAGATTCGCAATCTGGGCGAAAGATCGTGGGTTCGAATCGAAATTAGATTTTTTAAGATTTTTTTGTTAATTAAAAAACTTGTTTCTTCACTTCTATGCAGTCTTAAGGTTCTGTCGCATATTTCGTGGCCCTACATGGGAGTGGTACTACCACACGTATTGTAAGGCTGTAGCGTTCCAATTCTTGCGTTGCGTAAAGATTACAACGTTCACATAACTTTTGTTACTTATTATTAAGAATTGGTCGACGGGTCTCTTTCTAATTTTGTGGGATAGATGAAATTAATTTATATTCAAAATCAATTATGGTGGCAAAATGTATTAACATGAGTTAATACAATATAAATATATTTATCAGTAAATTAGCTCTTTAAACGTCTGAGTTTATAAATCAGCACATTTCACCACGAAAATATTGACAAAAATTGTTATTTTTTGATAAATGTTTTGGTCAATTCACAAATTATACCAATATTAAAAATTTTGTTTGCATCAGGGCTCGAAAACCGCTGACTCGATTTTGAAAAGTCTTTAAACCTAGGAGAAGCTACATCATACGCTGATGACAGGTTATAAATTACGCAGGTGAATTCGCAGGAACAGCTACTATAATAGATATTTAGAATGTTTGCACATTTTTTAATTTTATGCGAAAATAACTGCATGAAAGTCGTAATAACTTGCGCAATCTCGCATATGGTTTCCTTTATCGCAAATATTTTAAACATCTTGTTACGTGTGACCAGCATGTGAGAGTTGAACATAAATTTTTGGTTCAGTGGTTTTTCAAAATTCCATTTAATTTATATCTGTACTTGTGTCATAAGTATGTTATTATTCACAGGCTTACCATAAACACATTAAGGTCAAAGGGCACCGATAAAATATTTTATGAATTAAGCAACGTTTTACGAAAATTTTTAGTAAGAATTCCTTAGCAGAGTTGCGTTTGATGTTGCCATCGCTTAAATTCCAGTTTAGATTCCGGTAAAATTCTGGATTTTCATAAAACTTACGTAAATATAGATCGACTAACGCAGCCTTTAGTACTTTCGGAAATAGTTTTTATTCAATTTAACATCTAATGCAGCAATAACGCTTCAACGCTGAAATTTTCAAACACTTACAAAGCAATATCGTTGCTTACCTATAATTATTATTCTTTCTGTACTTTCATCATTTCTGAATTCGTTCAATTCAATAAAAATACCTACAAGTCTTTCTGCTCTAACGTAATACATTTCGTTTAGTCTGATTAAATCTGTGAGAGACATAAACAAAGGCATAAAACCGCCATAATATCCACTTGGCTGAGTGTGAAATGCACTGAATATTCTGGATCAGAGATCACCGCTCTTGTTGTTCAATAATTGTACATAAGCGGCACTCTTAGCGAGTTATTGTAGCAAAACGAAACTGGTTGGTAGATATATTATTATTATTATTTTATATATACAGAAATGGTCTCACCCTTTTAATGAATTGATTGTAAAAGAAATCAACTAGAATCAAATAGATTTAATAAATATTATATCATATCAATTTTGCGTTAACAACACTGTATTGAAATATTTCTTCGAGATGAATTTAATAAAATTAAAATCTAAATTAAATTTGATTTATGAAAATATGAGATTAACCATCGTCTTCTCAATTTTATTCATAATCTTAACACAAAAAATGAAAATAAACTTGCCGTTCAAACCTTCAGACTTCAGAAAACCAGAGGATCATTTCTGGTTAAATGCATTGCTATGTTCAATAAAGTTCCAAAAAATGTAGTTGACCTACCCATATTACCATACTTATGAGTAAAGGCTATTATAAAGTTGATGATTATGTTAAGGGTCGCAATGCATGGAATTAATAGCCTTCGCTTTGTTCTATAAAGACTAATTATATGTTCAACCTATGTCCTACAGACTTTGAAAGTTGTATATATTATTGTGATAATATATATTATTTTAGTAATTACATGATTTATGTAAATGTCATTACTTATGATAAAGAGCTGGTAAGTTTCTTACGCTTGTTCTTCTTGTCAGCTAAAAGACGTCCTGTACAAGTGGTAGGGGAAATATTTTTTTGAACGATTCAAAAGTGCTTGTTGAAGATATTTTCATTTCATTTCATATAGCAAAAATATCCTCCTCTTATGAATTTTCAAAAAACTAAATTTTATTAATGATTTAAAAGACATTACTAAAACATCATTCAATTATATCAACATCTAACAAAAGGAAAGAACTACAACTATTTTTATATAATTCAATTCACGCAAAGTAACGCCTGATTCTATGAAATATGGATCAGGGTTATGTTTTGTTTTATTTATTATGTCATTCTTCAGTGCCACAAAGAGACGCACTGACTGATAGGTCAAACTTATAACGACCCTCTTTTTGAGTCAAGGTTTAAAAATATGCTTCAAAACGCCAACGATAATATTAATCCTGTCCATTAAAATATGTTGTCAAAACCAATTTAGAAGAACGCATCAAACTTTTTAGACCTCTAGCTGAACCGTGAAATTAGGACTGCAAAACTTTCAGAACCAATAAACTTCGTACGTTGACTTTTAAAGTAATAGAAAACAGCCTTTTTTTTTCTTTTAACGAGTCGTTAAAAATTTAGTATCACACATTAGGTTTATTTTTAGACACGGCTATGATGTGCGCTTCTGTAATTATTTATGGATATTAGAGAGATCGGAGCTGGTTATGGAGCACTCTTTTCTGGAACCGACCCTACCCCCAAAAGAGAGAAGATACACTATCCTTCACACGGGTCTCTGCGGATAGAGAGTCCCACACACCTGCCGATAAAAAGTATGAAAGAGATGGATCAATATGTACACAAGGGTGTAGATAGGCAGAACACCCGGCTTTGGCCACTGCCCTCTTTTAGGCTTTTTGACACTTGACGGCGTTCAAAATAATACTTTATCGTGAACGTTTTGTAAAATGTTGTATTATGGCTAAACTAATATTGTTGATATATATAATGTGTCAAAGTTCATTTACTCGTAACTCAAAATGAAAATTTAATGATGGCTTTAACTCCAAATTTCATAAGTGTTTTTCCCTAAAATTTAATGTATTTTTTATAATACAAACTTTTAAATTAGACTTCAGCTTACTTCAATATTTATTTTTTATTGTAACAGAAATTGTTTTTTTTTATTATACGTTTGTTTTAAACGTCTTTTATTTGGATATTTTTGTCGTTATTGTGTGAATATTGTTTCGAAGTTCGCACTTTCTTTCTATGTCATTTCTTGACAGATAAGCTATATTGTGCCTCTCACAAAACCTTCGCGGTACCATTCTGAGGTCGTCTTTTTACTTAACAATGCTAGTATTGAGAGCTACTCCCGATGCAGACATATGTCAGTGTAGTGCTCTACTTTATTATTAAGATCAATTTTTTTATAGACAGGAAAAAATGTTACATAAACAAATAGGACAGTAATTCTTATTACTGTAGTTGGTATTTACTACAGTCTACAAAGATTAGAAGAAAATAGTTTTATTAATAATACGATTGATTCGTTTATTTTTTTTTTTTCTTCTTTGAATATATTTAAATATTATCATTTGAATCGATGCTTGTGGTAGGCTATTAATGCGACCAAAACAAAAACGCAACACTAAGCTTGAATGTTTTATTTGAGATAAAAAAACAATTAAGTGTATCTATAAAAATATATAGAATAAAGTAGTTCATTTTAATTATAATAGAAGGTTATTTATTTTCTTTTAGTAAATTAGATACATAAATGTCGGGATAAGATGAATAGTGTCGATGGTATGATGCACTTTAACTGGATTACAGACACGCTTATAAGAATAATAATTCCAATGTTTATGACCATGAAAGTTTAAAACAACAAGATTTCGCACATTCATTAAATTTAGTAGCTAATTCTTAGTCTAGTTAAAGATATAATAGCTGTAGCATAAGCTATTAATGTGCTCATATGATTACCTAAGGATATTTTTAAAAACCATTCGGAACACCAAAGTACAACTTCTTTCATTTACTTGCTACTTGTCACAATCGCTATTTATATTATAGCTTATAATCGCTTCAAAATCCTTTTGGAAGCTAAGATGTACTATAACTGATACCTCAAACTCTTAACATAACACCCGTCTTTTGCACCGGGATTTTGAAACTGGCGAGTAGGTATGAAAAAAAATGTGAATTTCAAGGAAATAAAAGATGTGTGTAAAAATTCTTTTGCCACTCAGCAGGCTATTCTGTAATAAATAACTTTATCACGTTTAACTCGACGTCAAGCGTTACAGCATAGAGTATCTTTCAAATAAAACCTACTTTAAAAGGTAATAAAGTTTTCATTTCATTAAACCACTACGCTGTGAGAGTGGCTTGCCTGACGTTCGGCGCTGTTTTTATAAATGAACAGGATAGCAGTTCTCTCTTTCTATCCTACAATAGATGGCGTGAAGGTAGAAGTAACCTAGAGAGATCTAACCTTCAAACATTTTGTCACACAGGAGCAGTTGCGACGGCGCAAAGAAGCGGAAGATAGGATCGCAGCTCAGAATGAATTTCTACGTACGTCCCTCCGAGGGTCACACAAACTTCAAGCGCTTGAGTCGACGCCGCCGTCGTCAGGAACAGCCTTCGTCAATGACGCTTACGAGGATGACGTCAGCGATGACTCTGTGCAATTATACACCGTTGTTGGTGAGTTTTACCTCTGGTTCTAAGTCCTAACTGTACTGAGTTTTACTTTTCGACTGGGCGCGCCGAGTCAAGCCTAATAGGGAATATTATGCAAAGCTCCGCAGGCAGCAGTAGTAAGCCATTAGTAAACAAACAAACTTTTTCGTACATTTCGTATTTCTAACCAACTACAAAAATCCAAAAGGAGGAGGTTAAATGTTCGACGGCGATGTATGTTTTTTTTATGTATGTTCACCGATATTTCCGCTAATTGTTGACCGATTGTGAAAATTCTTTTTTTATTCGACAGCTTAAAGGGCTGTCGTCGGCTCATTTAAATTCTATATAAATTGCATTCTGTAGTCTTCCTTTTATAACAAAACAAAATACGCGTTTTACCAGATGTCATCTAAATATTTAGATGATCCTTCGATTAACAATAAATCTATTTTTTGTGAGTCAAACAGCGCATTCTTTTACTCTACATTTGAAGTCTTTACGTCAAGAATAATGACGTTATGTGACTTCTCAAGAACGTCAAAGATGCAGTTACAACGATGCAATTAACAACCAAAACTAAATTTTACGTTATATAGCAGACGAGGTTAGGCAAACCTTTGTATACCGATGCCGGAAACACAATCACTCATTTGTGAATCTAGAAACACGGTGCTGCTCTACATCAAAGCTTTGTAGAGACACATCAATAGACAACACAACAATTCGTGCCTAGTTAAAAAAAATACACAATTAACATTTATATATCTATCTCATCATAAATATTATACTTAAGCCGACATAATCTCACTTTAATACTTTTAAAAGAAGGGTTTTTACAAAATTGTCTGTTTGGTTGCATGAAACATTATTTTCATTAACAAGACGATGAATTGTTTTATGTTAATAACATTCCTGAAATAACTCAACTTTCATAATAAAAATATTGAAATAATATTCAGCATATAACATTTTTAACCATTAGCATTGTAGTAAATATCGATTAAACTATTTTCTAATTGAAGATTATTTTAAACCAGAGATGAGATCAGTATGAATATCCGTCTTTTGAAAGTTAACTCTTTAACCAAGAATAAAAACAATATAATAATCCGGCTTTCAAAATTGACTCCTAAAAAAGGTCAAAAATATGAAGATAATAATAGTACAACAAACGATTTACTCTTTTCGAATGCTCTCGAAATAGGTTGAGAATAATGTTCCCAATGAAATCACAAACTCGTGTTTGATGATAAACAAAATATGGGGCGTATAAGCTAGCTAGTGCATATTCATGTCAAGAGGAATACAACAGGGGTCGACGAAATATCGTTTATTACACGCCAAAGTCAATGCTGAGCTGTTGTTGCTATAACGAGATTTTATCGATAGGATCTTGATAGTGTTGCGGCATTAAGAATTAACTAACAATTAATAGTCTTTGCCAGTATCGATATTAATTAATTATATCGATATTAATTAAATATTCGTTAATGAAGATGACAAGGATCTCTATGGTGCAGTGATTAGTGAATACAGTGTTTTTTATCAATAATGTTAACAAAGGCTCGTCATCGGTTTAATGACAAAATATTTATATGTTAATTCTAGCTGCAGTTAGACACACTAATCAGCAGTAACTAGATCTCGGGCAATTAAATTGTATAGAGCAGTTGCTCGGATTGCATAATGTTTGAATACCATTTCGGGCTCTTGAATCTATCGAATTTTCTAAGTAATTTACAAGCGAATATTTTGTTTCACCTGTTTGTCTTTTTGTAATCAAATCTTGTAAATTTCACGCAGTTCCCCGTGTCCGTTTGAGAGAATTTGTAACATACCTTTAGTTCTGATGACAATGCAATTATATATAATCGGTATTATTATTAAAACAAAATGAGGGCGTACATATTTCAGAACGATCCACCCATTATGGGACGACCGATCAAATTTTTAATGTTTTCTTGTTTCGCTAAATATAATCCTATAAAAATCTGATCAATTTTGCTATAATATATCCAAATTGTCCCAAATTATCATTTATTATTTGATTAGTGTGACACTAAACACATAATTGTATATTTAGATGCCTCATCAAAGGCCTCGCATAAATCAGGTAAAAACTAATAGGTCAACTTAGTTCCAGTTCGCTCGTCAATAGTAGAGCCTCGTCTCGCAGGTTTATGTTAGCTTATAAGTGGGTCGAGGTATCTTCGTTTCATTTCAACTTATATCTAATGATGAGCTATCATGACGAGAATGATTTATATAGTCAAAGATTATCTAATTATTTACATCATATAGTAGATATACTGCCTACCCTACCAAGTTACACGGATCATCATAACAACTAAATACAAATAATACATGACTAATATATGTAATAAGAGAATATTTATTTAACAATAGTGAAACATGAAAGTCTGTACTAATATTATAAAGAGGTAAGTTTGATTATTCGGTTGTTTATTTAGTTAGTTAGTTCGCATCGAATAGGCTTTGAAATGGACCGATTTTAGAAATCTTTCAACTACTGGAAGGTACGTCATATGCCTGTGACATAGACTTTAATTTACACGAACAGGGTACGAGAAAACACTTGGTAATTTAGAAATACTGTGAACATATGCCATATAAAATCAGATCAAATAGACCTTAAATTTGAAAATATTTGAATGTTTGTTTGTTTCTTTGCACCGAATATACTCTGATAATTAAAAACTATTTCACCTACGGGTAGCTACATTACATGGAGTTGACATAGGCTACAATTTATACGTACGAAGTCGCGGGACAACAGCTAGTTATGTATAACCTTTGGGGCATTTTGGTATCTTTATGACGATTCATATGTCATCTAATAGTGTATGCTTTGTACTAAACGCAATTTATTTACTATAAACTTTACATCAAGGTTTTCCTTAACATTAAGAGAATGCCCGACCGCAAGAGAATTAAACGAAAAAAGAATGTCAAGGTCATTTTGTATCACACGGGTCATTCTTACTATCTAATTTACATTAAGAACAAAACAAAACATCTAGAAATAGCATAAAATACCAGTTTCTAAATAATTGTTATTAATCAATATTTCTCGCTTTTAATTTTCAATAAGTAATACATTTTTTTAAATATATCTTATTACAGTTTGTTTAATGTAAAATTAAAAAATATTGCTTATATGTTTTTCGCAAACTATTGCACGTATATAATATGTTATAAAATAATATATGTTACGTGAATAATGCAGTGGAAAAATGCAATTATTGAAGCCCCATTAAAGTTCCATTATTTCGTTAACATTAGAGGATCGGGGTCCTGCATCCAGTAGCAAGACGAATTCGCCAACATTTTGACTGCGGTGTTTCTTGGTAGCTATAACAACGAGTCATATAATATTTCACTCTCGACTCGAGAAAAGTTACGTTTGGTGTAGATAGACAAATCGTTTCTCGAGTTTGTGATGCTACGCGGGTATAGCATACTGCGGCTTGTCAGGCGGGCATGCTAACTTTGTGTGTAGCAGTCATTATTCATAGGGGCTTGCAATTTCACGGACCATTGTTCACGTTATTTGGGAAACTTGTACTAATCTGAATAAGGTAATTCATATAAATTATTTAGTTTCAAATTCAAATGGCGTAACGATATGAACGATTGTAATATAAAAACTGCAAAAATGAACTTTATTAATATTTTCGTACCGCATATTTTTGTAAATTGTAGACAAAATGTTCGTGATACATTTATACCGATGCTTTTTTATATTTTTCAAAGCGAAATTCTAGTTTCAATGGTATTACCATTGAAACTTCTGCCTTTAATATTGCGCTGTTATTAAACAATATCTGTATCCGAAACTAGATTATGTATATGTATACGTGAAAACTCAGACTTTATAGCCAGATAAAATCTGTTAAATGCAGAATCTTCTTGTTTTTATATTACACAGAGGATAGTAACCGAATATGAAAGAGTATCTCTAATAAATAATAATTCAATTTGCCTCTAGATTTTCTGAATAGCTAGAACTTGTGAATTTTCATTAAGTCCAGCAAATCTGCGATTTTCTTATCGATTTGCATAAAAAGGCTTCACTTCAGGACTATAATTAAATACTTAATCGTTAATCATAGTGGTTAATGCCAATTTATAAGTACATAATTTATTTATCAATGTGGGTTATACAGTAATTAAAAAAAAAAAACAAGATGTCACTTCTATCAAACATCTCTTTATTCCAATAGGTCTTCAAAACTAAAAAATGATTTTGCAACAATGTCGGAGTAAACCTGAAAGTGAATAGCCTTCTTAAGGTTTTCCGTAAAGAGCCTCTGTCACATTGTTAGTATGTAGTAGGAAATTAATCTACGGAAACCATACGTCGATACAATGCAAGGTCTTTATATCGAAAATAATCGATATAACACTTATAAAATTAGTCACGATTCAACTTTGACCTCGCAATAAGAGGCTAGTGGTTGGAGAGCCCTGCTTTAAGGTTTAAGGTACCCAGCGTTAACAAAAAATAAGACTGTATTCTCATACCTACCTTCTTTCAATTTATAGTCCCACCTCGACTTCGTATAGATGCAAATTAAACCTGATCGATAGCATTCATTAAAGAATATTAACAAAATCAAGCTTAATGTTTTCTGCTATTACATATAGTGCCTGGGTAAAAAAAAAATCCATTTAGTCCGTCAGTCAGATAATAGAAGAAATGTTGGATATGTACTTTTTGCTTCCATTTAACAAGAAATGACTTAGATAATTGTCATTAATATTGAGGAGTGGGGGCTTGCTACGTCACAACTATGTAGAAAATGTATAAAGATGTGACGTTATTCGACATTACAACCATTAAAAACTTAAATGTGTATTGTAATAATTCAATGATTAGGCAAAAAACAAAAAATAAGTGTTATATATTATTTAATAATCTACCTGACTGACAGACAGACAAACATAATTTAGTCATATTCCTGTTGATGCGAATCAATATACGAATGAGTATATATGAGTATAACAATCTTATTAATTTTATAACATTGTTTCAGATTACCAAGAAGTATGTTCAGCACTCTCGAGGGTACAAAAAGCGTTGGGTTCCGCCGGTGAATCAGCGCTGGCGGCGCGGGTAGCGAATGCTGCGAGCACGTTGCTCTGCCCATCACTACGGACCGCCCTGGCCACTAGGTCAGCTGTTCTAACCGCCGTCCGCCATAAACGGTCCGGACTATCTGCGCCGCATACGCACCGCGCCACGGACAGATTGAAAGACGTAAGTAATTCACTTAGTAATGTTTTATTAATTTCAATGACAATTGTGTTATTACCAGAACATTTTTTTACGAACTGACATTCAGATCAGACCATATCGCGTAGCTCGAAATTTCCAATTACGAAAAATTAATAATAAAAAAGTGATGTTAAAGATCAAAGACCAAAAATTTGGATGCGGAAACCAAGGACACTGTTACAGTACCTTACTTTAAGAAAAACGATACATCGTATTATAAACTTTTTGGTAAGCACCTAGTCCTCAACTCTTCTAATTTTTCATGTATTGTGTTTCAGTGCATAGATGTACTGGACCTGCAGACGGGTGCTGGCGGCGAGAAGTCCGCGATAGCTGCAGAACTGTTGTCCATCCTTGGCGGCCTGGAGCTAGAGAGCTTGATCCAAGCCCACGATCAGGCTGCAGCACTCCTCGACCCCGCCTGCTTCAGCAGAGGCAAGAGGCATAAGGTCGGTATTGTATTTTAACACCGCAACCGCTTACTCTCTTTTCATGAGTAGCAGGATATGATTTTGAGCGATGTCATAGCAATATATTGTTTAATTTACTATTAAGACATGTACTTTAATCATACTACGAGTATTATATTTCATTGCATTGCATACATGTAACTTACAAACTAAATACATAAATTTCAGTTAATAATATTCACATGACAGGCATGGCAAACTTTCAAATATTCACTCACTGTGCATTTATTTATTAAGATATTCTTTAGTATTTTTATAAATCGAGTATATTCTTTTACGTTTTTTTAGGTATTCAGGTAATTTACTCATATTATAGATTTTAATTGACATTTTATTAGTTCCGGAACTGTGTAAAGTTACGAGTAACTTAGAAGGTATAGGTATTTTGATTAGGTTAGGTTAGGTTAGGAATGATGCTATTGGATTTGAAGTCGTTCATCCCAAATTTTGTTGACCGAAAGACAAATATCGCCTTAACAACAATAAGGTTTCGTATCCTATTGCTAGAGTAATGACTCTCTAGACATAATGTCTATATTCATATCACTCTATAGTCATATCATCTCTAGAGTTGGATGGTAACATTGGATAATTATTTCTAAAGTCTATAAATACTGATCTATCTTTTTATTGAGGAAACACATTCATTTTCGCATTAGATTGTCATGTAATTTTCAGAAACGTTGCGTTAATTATTTTATTACGCATGAGAAATTCACTGTCGTTACGAGAGTTGCGGATGTTGGCGACCTATATTATATATACGTATATAAGGCAGAGGCGTCAATTCGTTAGTTTTTTTATGGTTAATAATTTACATTTTATATATTCTTTCGTATCTAATGTAAGCTTCCTATTATTCTAGGCATACCTTACATTAGATGTTGATGATTATTATTAGATTTCACGCGTTTCTGTAGTTTAATTTGTGGAGTAAAATTTGATATTTTCATTGATAAAAAAAAAATAGCATGAAAATGTAGCATGAACACAAAAAATAGCAACATATTAGCTTATGCCCCGCCGCTAAGGCACTAGCGTAAAGCCGCTAATGCCGAAAAATAACTTGTATGGATTTTTACCTTAAACGAAGAAATGTACAAGTATTTACCAAATATCATTCATAAGCTAACGAAAACATTATCCGTTTAAGTTTTTGAATAAACCGTGATTTATTATCATGAAATGATTCCTTGGTGCGTGGTTATCTCAAGTGTGGCGAATAAATGGATCGACTCTTGGACAGACCCTCGTAAAGCCAGCGGAGAGAGGAAATTACCATAACATTTGCATAAGATCAACACTGGAATTTCGTACGATAATAGATAAAGTAATATTGTACGTAGATATACTAATGTTAATTGAATGTTATTAACCTTTTGACTTCATTAATTGGCGTTTCTGGTTTTGTTATTAAGAACACGCAAATAAAATTAAAATATCTATGCTTGTATGTCTTTTAATTGATTAACTTTTTTCAAGTATTTTAGAGCAATTTTAAAAGTTAATATAGGTATTAATAAAAAAAAACATGGACAGTCATGAAAGTAGGTATTTATTGATTCCAAATTTTTTAATAGTTTGTTTTAGCTGTTCATTTAATTTCTTGAGAAAATTTCATGTAATTATTTGTATCTATGAGATATTGATAGTCGTGCTATTTAAATATAGTTTATTTTATACATACAATGAACAAACCAAACTAATTTTAAGTTTGGTCCTGTCAAACTGCTCTTTTAATTTTGAAAAGAACTGATAAAAGAAGTAAATATCTGTTTTTATTATATTTCTATTGATTGTTATGATCCTGGAATAATTTTTAAACAAACCCAAAATTTAATTAAAAAATTGGTACAACTAAATTAACGCATTTAAGTTCTAAATCTTTGTCTATAGGTGATACGCACTTAATGTCTAAAGTCTATGTCTGTCAGAGACCATAATTATATTTTTATTCAAATTCTCACGCTTAGTACCAGGATAAAAAAATTATTGCCGTCGAACATATGACCCCCTTCTTCTCGATTTTCAATTCGGTTAAAAAGTTGCCTGCCTCCATTCGGCCTCCGTAGCCGAGTGGTTCGCACGTCGGGTTTAAGATGTCGCCATCTCGGAAGTCTGGTTCGAGTCCCGATCGGGTCAATATAGTTTTCCATAATACGGGGGCTTTAGCTACTCTTCTTAGAATCTGAGCAAAGATTTATCCCATCTAATAAACACACAGAAACACGTTATTTAATTTATTCCATCTAATATACACACAAAAACACGTCACGTTACGTCAATTGATATTCATGTCTACCTTCAATGCATTAAGGTATAAAATCAAGTATATAATTTGACCTAACGTGCTGCCATTTAAATGATAGAAGATTTTTCCATATAAACCTTAGATTATATTAATGTATATACATTTGTTACAGACTGGAAATAACTATAATCACAAAGGAGAGAATGACAAAGCTTTAACTGCACATTCGCCGGACGACCCCAGCGAAAACATCAAAATTATTAAAATTGAAAAGACTAATGAACCACTTGGTAAGATAAATGCTATGCTTAATAATAAACTATCTTTAATAATGACAGTTATCGAGAAGCTCGATGGCGCAGTGATTGACGCGTTTGGTCTTCGATTCGAAAGTGGAACATCTTTCACAAGGGCTGGTTATAGAATGGGTGAACAAAAGTGTGCTTCAGAAGACACGATGAGCCATTATTCTCGGCTGCTTACGCAGTCGTTAACACCCATCAACCCGCACTGAGTCCGCGTGATGGGTCATAGCCCATTCCCCTATTTGGTTCCATTCCATCCAAAGAAAAGATCTGTATACCAGCAGTGGGGATATTGATGACCAAATAAATATTACAACATTTATCAAAAACTTTCAAGTAGTTTGATTAATTTCTAAAAGACCTAAAAGATAAAGAGAAAACGAGCATTTGAGTATACGTCTGTATTGCCAGTTAGTAAAGTAGTTGAGAGACAATTTTGGTCTTATCGGGCAGGTGAATTGATTTTGGCCGTTTTGAGAGTTACGAGGGAGTGAACATACACATCACAGCTATCAACAACATAATATTTGAAATTACAAAATTTTAAAAATGTTCACGGTAAAGTAATACTTTTGACAATGCGTTAGTTATAACGCTTAGAAGTGTCAAACGGCCAATAAGGGGGCAGTGGTCAAAACTAGGTCTTCTATCCTATATTGAAAATACATTTACTTTATCTTGTTATAGGTGCTACAGTAAGAAATGAAGGGGAAGCTGTTGTAATCGGTAGGATAGTGAGAGGTGGAATAGCGGAGAAGTCAGGCCTTTTACACGAAGGAGACGAGGTGAGAAACATTAAAGTGATTTCTTATTAATAAATAAGCAAATAGTCTTATTATTTAATAAAATACCAGCTATATTTCCGCGACTTCGCCCATGATCCGCTAAAATGTAAATAATTTCTAAAATGAAAACTATTACTATTTTCAAAAATAATTAAAGGATTTTTTGATTGTGCAAGAAACCGGCAATGTATAAGCGGGTAATGTTTGCGCAGCTCCTGGAGGTAAACGGTCTCGCGATGCGCGGCAAGTCTGTGCACGAGGTGTGCTCGATGCTGGGCGCGCTGACGGGCACGCTGCACGTGGTGCTGGCGCCGCGAGCGCGCGCGCCCCGCCCCCCGCCCCCCCACCGCGTGCTGCACGTGCGCGCACACTTCGACTACGACCCCGAGGATGATGTGTACATACCATGCCGCGAACTCGGTTAGTATAGAATAACTTGACGGCGCTGAGTAGCTCGGTGGCGTAGTGGATAAGCGCCGCGGCCCGCGATAGTTGTCGTTAAGCAACTTTCGCAAGGGTCGGTCACGGGATGGGTGACCAAAAATTATTATCTCGAGCTACTCCGTGCTTCGGATGGTACGTTAAGCCGTTGGTCCAGGCTCCATTTGCAGTCGTTAATACCCTCCAATCCGCATTGGGCCAGCGTGGAGGGTCATGGCCCATCCTCCTTAACCATCCATAAGGAAGGCCTGAGCCCCGGCAGTGGGGATGTAAAAGGGCTGATGATGATGATGATGACGAGGCTAAGTGTGGAGCAATCTTTATGGATGTCAAGCTCTAACAAAACTGAGGGTGCATCAAAGGAGGTTTGGTGGGTCCATCTGCGTTTTGACTATAGCCTTCGGGCGGGATGTGGATGAAGAGTGCTGTCCCCCTGCTGCTTGTCATGTGACAGGGACATTGCATAATGAATCTTCTTACGACATAAAAAAATGACATGAACAGTGTGGTTATTTCAAAAGAATGTAATTACTTTCTAACACTGCCTTACCCAGTTTTGGATGTTTTGTCTGCAACTATATCCAAATCAAAGATTCTGTTCAGAAAATAATTAATATAGAAATATACCATGAAAACAAACACAGAGGTACTGTAAAATCTATCTTGCGGTTCTTACAAGACCACTTTTTGAACACAACTTTTTTCTTCCAGGCATAAGTTTCCAGAAAGGGGACGTGTTACATGTGATCAGTAGAGAAGATCCAAACTGGTGGCAAGCGTTCAGGGAAGGCGAGGACGACCAATCACTAGCGGGATTAATACCAAGCCAGGCGTTTCAGCATCAGTGAGTTTTTATTTCGATATTAATTACTACACATAGCAACTTGAAAATATGACTTATCCTTTCAGCTAAACGGTCATAATTCCTAGAAACAATAAATGGGAGTGACGCCACTAAATTCGTGATGCTTTGTTTTCAAGATAAAAAACATAAACACCCAGTTGCACAAACGGTCATTAAAATATTCCTTAGTTTAAAGCGACATTATCTTATTATCCATACAAATATTCAAATTTACAATTATTTGAGCTTATAGTCGTCATTAAACGTTAATGGACATTTGTCCATTGTGCAACTAACCAAAGTGTTCTTCAATACGATTCGAAAATTCAAAGATTTTTCCTGCAACTTCATCCACGTAAATTATAGCTTTTATAGAATAGAAAAAAATAGAATAGAAAGCGTTCATTTGGCATTAAATACAAAGTAACATAATATTACATAGCAAAAAAAAAAACAAAAAATAAAAGTTTTATCAAACGGACCTCTGCTCAATATGAGCCGAAGCAACATTTGCTACGGGATTATCATCGCGTATGATGTAGCTTCCCGTTAATGAAAGAATTTTTAAAATCCGTCCAGAAGTTTTGGAATCTGTTCATTGCAAACAAACAAATTTTCCCCTCTATAATAATCTTAGTATAGAAACACCTACCCAACGCTTAATTTTGAGTATTGGTAACCTAATTCAATTAGAATTCTTAGTCTAATGAGAACTGAAGTAATTTATGTTTGCATCTTCAGGCGTGAATCTATGAAGCTGACGTTAGCTGGGGAAGTGGCGGCGCGAGACAAACCACGTAAAGGAGGCACTCTTCTGTGTGCGAAAAAACCACCGCGAAAGAAGAAAGGGAAGAAAGCAACTAGCGAAGCAGGATATCCGCTGTATTCTACATCGGGAACAGACGGTAGGTCTACTTATAATGTCTAACTATACTTTTAGAGAATGCAGTGACATCCTTTTTTTTATCATCAACAACCAGTTCGGTTATAGTCTGTTCTACCGATTTGATTTCATTTGTACGAGTAGGAGAAATCTGCCCAATCGCTGAATGACCGAATGACTTAAAAAAGATTAATGAAAAAAGGTTCTCATTTAATTTTTTTTTTTAGATTTTGAGCAAGAGGAAATTCTGACGTACGAAGAGGTAGGGCTGTACTTCCCTCGAGCGTCAAACAAGAGGCCTATAGTGCTAATAGGACCGCCCAACATTGGTCGACACGAATTACGACAGCGCCTAATGGAAGACAGTTCCAGATTCGCTGCAGCTGTGCCCCGTGAGTATATAAATGAAATACTATGATTATAAACACATTTTATTGTATGGATTGGTGTATATTATTATTCTATGGCTTAGTAATATTTAAGCATATTTGAAGAATGAAACATATTTGAAGAATGAAGAAAAACTAACATTTTTTTCTTTGTTTTATATTCATATATGAAAGTTGATAATTCAATGTTTATATTCATATTTTTTATTTAAATAGTATAATTTCTTAACAAAAAATGTTTAAAAATCCGCTTTGTCCCTGGCATCATGAGAAGGGACTCGAACTCATGACCTTTCGCAATCCACTCAACATTTTGACTGTTCAACGTTTTTTAGCATTTCTTAAGCGTTTCTCATTATGAATATTTTCCAGTATAGCATTGTGAATGAAAAATTGATAAAATATAATAAATAATAGTAAGTTTGTTTACTATTATTTAGTATATTTTATCAATTTTTCATTCACAATGCTATACTTTAATGTAGGTATATTAAATAAAAAAATGTCATCCAGCAAAACTGCCATTGTCAACTTTTTATTCTTTATCTCCGATGTTAGTAGGTTAAAAAAAACCTGGATATGATTCACTGTATAGAACATAATATTTAATTACGTGCACTGCATACTAGTCCTACGAGTAATGCGCCTACCACACGTGCATGCTTGACCACAGTTTTACTTGCGCATGCCGGCTTTGGGGTTTGCGCATGCTACCATTTTACCAACTACACGCACAGTGTTCAGTGTACACGTGTGGTAGGCGCATTATCCTACCTCGGGGATACAAGCAGAGGCATAGTTACCGCAGTATCAGCCATAATCAATGATACGGGGACCCCGGGCTACAGAGGCTCCTAACCTGTAAAAAGCATAAATTTTTACCCTTCAATTCGGCCTTTTCTTTTATATATTTAAATTTATTATAACATTGTGAATGAAAAATTGATTAACTTATATATTGAAGAATTTTTATTTATTTTAAAAAAAATTGTTTAACGTATTTATATTTTTTTATTTTAATTTAAAGCTTAGGTAACTTAATGTCGCGTCGTCCAACTGAAATAAAAATTGTATACTACACAGTAGGGTATACCCGCAAAGGATACGATGTAAAGATATTTAGATTTGAAATTGCCACAACAAATTATCACATTTATTTTATACTTGTAAAGATACGTCTCGACCCCGGAAAGACCACGAAGTACCAGGGCAGGACTACCACTTCATATCGCGCACGCAATTCGAGGCGGATATCCTGAATAGGAAGTTTGTCGAACACGGTGAATACGAGAAGGCTTATTATGGTGAGTGAAATAAGCTTCTAGAATTATAGATCAAATAGCACAGGCACTTGATTGATTTGATCAGTGTTACTAACGTTATTACATAATAGGGATGTCGATAGTTTTGTTTGTTTGTTCGTTAGGTAGATTATTGAAGAATACGCATTTTTTTTTGGTGTAATCAATAAATTACGGCGATACATTGAGTTGAAATGTCTCATGACTTCACGCTTTTGTATATTTTCTACAAAACTGTGTCGTCGCGAGCCCCCACACCATTTCTTGTTTAGATTGAAGCAAAAGAAATATATTTCTAATATTTTTATTTACCCAGTCGTCATCCATATTAATTATGTCAGCGACATAGAGATTATTCCACCCCAGAAGAGTAGATTTTTTTTGAATCCATCCAATTTCTGCATGGACATATAGATGTAATGTGGAAATAATTTAGATTATATTCCAACGAACAAGTTACTTACCTACAAGAAAAATACTAAAATTTCACCAGTTTTGTGTATCCGAGATGGGATTCAAACAAATAACCTTTCGCATTTTAGGCGACTGCTCCAACATTTCTTAACTAATTAATTATAATATACATTTTGAGAATGTAAAATTTTATCCTTTTTTTTTAAAAAGGAACATCCCTCGAAGCAATTCGCGAAGTGGTAAACTCCGGCAAGATCTGCGTATTAAATCTACATCCTCAGTCACTGAAAATCCTCAGAGGGTCAGACCTAAAGCCTTATACGGTGTTTGTCGCGCCACCCAGCCTAGAAAAACTTCGCCAGAAGAAGATAAGAAACGGGGAAGCTTTTAAAGTAAGTCTGATTCAGATTGTTTTCTACCTTTTTTTAAGTCTTAAAACTGTAGTTTACACTATTTACTTTATTTTAACTATTTATTTTATCAATTGACATTTCTTACTGTATAAGTAAAAAGTTACAGTACAAAACGATGCAAAATTAGATACGATTCTAAAATTAGCAGTGTTCGATAAAACTTATGCGTAGTCGATTAAGATTTATTTGCGCTCAATGATAGATTATAAATCTGAGCAACTCGCTGGCGTAGTACATAAGCGCCACGTTGTTGTAAAGTGACCATCGCAAGGTTCCGTCACGGCATAGGTGATTAAAACATTGTTATCTCGAGCTACTCCGTGCTACGGAAGTAGTTGGTCCTGACTGCATTTGTAGTCGTTATATCTTACAATCCGCATTAGGCCTTCGTGGAGGATCTAGTGTATCCTGCTTAACCATCCATAAGGAAAGCCTGAACTCCTGCAGTGGAGATGTAAAGGGTTAAAGGGATGATTAATTATATCAAAAATGTTTACTTAATTTCAATGCAAACCCTACGTTATCTAAGGGGTTAGTGCAAATCTAACTGAAATTCGTCAAGCGTATCATGGATTTATGCAAAGGGTTGTGCAAGGTTGATTTTAACTTCTAATATATATACATATCAGTTCTGACGAGACAGACAATTAAGCGACCTATCTTCCATCAAATATATAGCCCCTTAAGATCTGTTCAAATCCATTAATATTTTCAATTCAAAATTATATAAGTAGAATAACACCTTATAATAAAACTTACTATTTTATTCCAGGAAGAGGAGCTTAAAGAAATAATAGGTACAGCTAGAGACATGGAACTAAGATGGGGCCACTTGTTCGATATGATTATCATAAATAACGACACACAACGTGCCTACCAGCAGCTGCTTAACGAGATCAATAGCTTAGAACGGGAGCCTCAGTGGGTGCCTGCTCACTGGCTAAAGCATACCTAGCGGGGGCAGAAACACGGTAACGGTCGTGCTAATAACACAAATAACGTTAATAACGTTTTAAAAAATAGCGCTATCGTTACCAACGCAACATCACAATCCCGAGTGAGCACCGTGTACAAACTGGTACCGCTCCTGGAGATGTTCACGCGAATGGTTTTACATTTGCTTCTATACTTTCTAAATGCGTGCGATAGGAACACGCGGCGTTTTACAGGTCGGTTAAAATTTATGGGTAGAGGTAGGGAGGAGAGTAGCTCGAACGCGATCTCCGAAACTGTAGAGAATATAGAATATAGTGATGTGTTCCCTTTGAAGTGTTTAGACGGAGACGATCGCCACGAGCCGTACGAAGAGGTTGAACGTAAAAGATATGTCGCGTAACGGTTCACGAATGTCGGAATATCTTTTTAGTCAGAAAATGTGTTGTTGATGATAAACTATATAAAAATTAAAGATTGTCGAGTCTTGGCTGTTAATGAAAACTTGTGAAAGTCCAAAAGATTGATTCATAAGCAGTGGAGAGAAGTTGGTTAGGACTGTGTTTCCCTTTAATATTCAGATTTTTAAACTTTATTTTTGAACTTTTCACAATACAATTATCGTAATCCAAAGGCGTAAATATATTTTGTTTTAATATTCAACTAAATTTCTTTTTTCTCTATAGCAACTGAATTTTTTATTCTTCAATTTGTTTATCTAGTTGTGCTCAAGAAATATTATTAGAATATTTTCGGTATACTTAAAAGACACAGAAGGGTGCAGCCTAAAGTAGAATAAACTGTTTGTAAACAAAGACCAAGCACATCTATAACATCTTTTCTAATAAAATTAGTTTGAGGACTTTGTATATGTTATTATTATAATGAGTCAGTTAACAATAAAGTGTTGAAATGCGAGTTATCTTGTATATTTAATTTGAAGTTGAAAATCTTTTTAGAGTTAACTATGCGTCGTACATTAGTAATGTTTTAAAAATGACCCTTAAATAATGCGCTATAAGGCTCGCGTTTCAATACTTTGTTAAGTTGGTGTTATGTTTATCCTTTTTTTGTTCTACCGTTATTGTTCTTTCTTTGGCATTTTGTACTTAAATCCTTGTGATTTTTACCTACATAAATAATATTGTGTATTTAGGATAATTATATTATTTTATTTATCTTAGAAACCTCAGTTCTATAATAGATCTTTCTCGCACCCTTTCATGTCAAAATTTATTATGAAATTTTTAGATATACTCAGAATATGAAATTTTATTTACTTTTAGGTAAATATGCATTATTATCAATTGCGAAACTTACAAATTTTATAAAAAAAAGGTACTTAATTTAATATGGAAAATTACCTAAGGATCTTTGATAAATAAAGAGCAGATAATTGACGATCATATTGTCTAGGGCTCAGACAATAAGAAGCGTCTAGGGTGAAATTTCTTTGTATCGTCTTATAAACATACCCACAAACCAATAGTTTGAAAACAATCAAATGATTACAATTGGATATGTTTTTATATGCTGCCTAATTGGTTTATTTCTAAAATTCTTCAAGTACTTGCTGGTAGGGCAAGAGTTACATAATTTACAATTAATTTTAATCAATTACGACATCATTTTTAATTCGTTAAAATTAGAAATGAGGTCGTTTTATCTAAATCCCACTTCTATCCCTATTACTAATTTTAACGAAGTCTAGAAATATATCATTGTAAAGAGGAGTTCCTGAAGATCAGTTGAATTTCACTTCTGTAGTTTAGAAATATAACATATGACATTTTGCAATATTTTCTTGAAAATATATAAATAGAGGTTTTTTCAAATAGTCAGTGTCTTAAATCTACCTATCTAAATTTGAATTCTGTACTTTGAGCGATCTATGACGCAACTTTGTGACAGATATCAGCTTATGTAGTTTTATATAATAGAATCAAATAATAGGTAACTATCAATTTGATCCCTCTTCGTCATTTTTTTCTCAATGCATAGATTTAGAAAACCACACATATTCGGTAATATATTTGACACTCCTATTAAAAATGTTTGCAGAAATCTTAAAATATTTAATAATGTAGGATTTTCAAAGTATATTCGATTTTTCTAAAGCGTCAAGACTTCGCGCTGGAATAGGTAATTCTTAGAATTTTTTTTGCATATTTGATTGTTGATTTCCCATATTATAAAATATACCTACCACTAATATATTTATAATAAAGACGCCCAATAATATTACAAACTAAATATTCAACAGTAAATTAGAGATGTTATAATAAAAATATATAAATTAAAAGTTAACTTTTAATAATGCGAGGGAATTTATAGTTTTCCATTTTATGATAGATAGTTAAAAAATCAAAACAATAAATTGATTATTTCTCTATTGCCAAATTTATACGTTAGATTTAAAATAATTAACTATATAACATTTTTAAAGACCTTCGGTAGACTTTTCGTGGGATTCTGAAATTGTGACTCTTTAAATTAGGAATTTACTAGGAACAATAAACCAAGTATTATGAACACTGCTATTATAGTGAGTAGAAAAGCAATATTTTATAACAATATTTAATCAAAAACCTTACTGTACAACGACATATCTGTTTTTATAGTATACCCTATATTCCAATTTTTCGGCCAATCAAGTGTATTCCTTTTGGTAAATTTACCAGAATTAAGGTAATTAAAGTTACAGTAATGTATTCGTGTGTTCAAAAGTTTGGTGTGTTCGTGTTTTTGTTGTGATCAATTGATAAATTTTATTTAATTAGGTAACAGTTTATTTTTACATATAATTATATACGGTGTGATTCGACAACTACAATACAAGTTTGTGATTGGGTAAATTAAAAATTTGTTGGTTACGTTTCAATTTCTCTTTAAAATATTAAGAACACTAGAAATCTTTCTAGGATTGTTGATAACATTATTTGTTACACGCATTTTTAAATACACTTACCCGGACTAGTAATCTAATGACCATAGATAATAATACGTTTCGTTCGATACGACTTAAGGTTTCGTTTTTGTCGATCGATATCGCGTTTTTAGGGAGTGTTCCCAGTATTAATTATTATATTCTACCTCATTTTGTTTATTTTCCTTTGTGTTAAAACGTCACAACTTTATTCTTGATGTTGTCGAATTAGGCCGAATCTCATACTTACATACCCACAAATACGTATGCTACTTACTACATTGGCGTTTCCAGTAAGAATATCAGTCTAACAAAAATATATGATTGCCAAAGAAAGAAATAATCATTTGTATCCGTAAACTGATGCGTTAAGGCAATAATAAATTTAGCGATAAATGACAACGTATTGTTACACACATGAGATTCGACCATTATACACCGAGTTAGAGGGAGATAAGTAATGATAGTTAATTGCAATACAATTTCTAAGATGAACACAATATTCTAAATATCCAGGGGTAAGTATTCTAATTAAAGTTTGTTTACCTACATTATTTGTATATGTGTGTAGATAAAATTGTGCATTCCAAATAATTTAGTGCCAAATAAATAAGGCCACGACAAATAGTGGATACAATAACCTTTTTTTTTTATAATAATCACAATTTTTAAATGAATATTATGTTATTTTGTATGTATGTTGTAGGTACCTTGAAATATTAATTACCAATGTCATGTTACATGTACCGATTTTTGATAAAACGTGTCATAATGTTTTAAATTTGATCGAGAATATGCATTAGCTGCGTAAGTTTATAATGTATTTGAACATAAAACCGGTAGCCTGTGAGGTGCTAAAATTTATCGTTTTATTTTGTTATATATCATATTCTGCGTGCTTTTAAGTTATTGCGTTTTAGTGTGCACGAAAAATATATATTCAAATTATAATATACTAAGAAATGCCGACTTGAATATACTTAATTATAGATTAAATATTTTTCGTGCACTCAAATATGATAATGTCGATTTGTCGAGTTTTCACAGTATTGATATTGTCTAATTTATAAATAGTCCTGTATATAATTTATTAACAACTGAATAAATAATGAAAAATATAAATAACATGTTAATAGAGAACAATTTAATGTAAATAATAGAGTACCTATTAAATTTAATATCAGATAAAATGTTCGTTTCATTGTCTTTCTTTATTTGTCTTTGATTGTCTTACAACATTAAACACCTACCCCTCATTGGATTTAATTACCTGCTAATATATAGAAATATTTTTTGTATAAATAAATAATAGGTTGGAGAAAAAGTTTCTTCGCATTTTATATGTAATGCAAAACATATTATTAAAGTTTATTTACATTTATCTGAAGTATGTAGGTATCATTTTATTTGATAACTTGTAGGTAGGGACATGATTCCATTACTATAGAAATTTTGAGGCTTATAATAAAAAAACCGTGACATGTTAACCTGACACTGTCTTAAGAATTCTGAAGAGACCGAAACAGGTAGAAATCTGAAGTTGCGAGGTCAGAACTATACAGCGGATGCTTTAGTACCTCCCAACCAAAGCCTTAATTTTTGCTTAGTGGCAAAAGATGTGTGAGCTCTAGCGTTATCATGATGAAAAACCACAGCTCTTCTATTGGTTGATTCTGGCCGCTTTCTCTCAACTTCTTGCTTTAATCTCATCAGTTATTCGCAGAAGAATTCAGAATCGGTGGTTCTGCCAATCGGTAACAGCTCATAATGAATAATGCCTTTCCAAACCCACCATAAGTACAGCAGCCTTGTTGAGAGTTAACCCGGGTTTTGCCACAGTCTTTGAAGCCTGACCGACCTTTGACCACGACCTTTTTCGCACGTTCTTGTCGTAAGTGATTAATTTTTCATCACCAGTTATCAGCTTCTTAAAAAATGGTTTGGTATCACAAATGAGTAGGGGAGACCTAGGTGAGTTGTGACAGAGGTGAGTTGTGACAAGGAGGATTTCTCTCTACGTATTATAGTAATCGAGATGGCATTAACGCTTGTTTGTCGTTCTCGACACGCGCTACACGACTCAGTACCTGTCGACAGTGCATGTGGCACAGTTGCGTAAATATATCATCAGTGTACAAAAAATTACGAAAAGTAAGTTTTTCTTCAAAATACTATTTGAATATATATCATATCTTGGTATATGTGCATTGATGTGTTATTTTTTCTTAAGTTATTTAGTTATTTAAGTCTCAATACGTGGCACTGATTTTTTGTATGCGCATCGTGTTTAGAAAATATGAATTATTATTCGGACCAAGACGTCATTTTGAACACCTAGGTGAGTTGTGACAGCCTGTCACAACTCTCCTATCTTACTCCATATTTTTGCTGGGCTATTTTTACAATTTTTTTATTAACTTTAGATGTTTGTTGGTGTGTTAGTAGCTACTTAAGGTGTATAATGGCATACCGCATACTTATTTTTTTTTTAAATGCCGAATAACTGAGTACGAGAACGAATAACGAGAGACTGAAAATCTAAGAATGTTAAGAAGCGTGTTTTAAGCGAAGAAAAAAAAAGAAACATAAAAAAGCAAAAAAGACTAATAAAAAGAATAGAACAAGTGATGAAGAAAATAACTGCTTTTATTTGGTTTGCCTTGAAGCCTATGCAGACAGCAGATCGAATGATCAGTGGGTCCAAAGCCTGGAATGCAAAGGCTAGGCACACGTAGATTGTACTGGGGACGAGCTGCATTACGTTTTGGCATAATTGTGAATCTGATTAGATTAAGATTTTATACTGATTATAACAATAATATGATTGATCTCAAAGCGATACCATATTTAGTTAATGAAAATATTATAATTACTTGTTATGAGAATATTAATACTATGTTGTTTTAGTTGGTAGGTATTAAAAGATGATTAATCAAATCAAATCAATCTTTATTGTTGATCGCAGGTTATATAAAGATATTGGATGCAAGGACTGAATAGTTATACCGTGATCTGCCTTAAAGGCATACAATATTAGTAGGTTAGTAATTGTCAACTAATCTAATCAATAACATGTTATGTCAAAAATTCAATTAATTCATTAAGTATTTATACATTTACAAAGTACTGTCAGCTAGATACTCGTTTACACTTTAATATACTTTAGCTACTAATAATTTATAAAGTTTTCTTTTAAAAACTTTACAATTATTCAGATTACGTATTGTTTTTGGAATTTTTTCAAAAATATTTGGAGCCATACAAAAGATACTTTTGTTCAACAGAGCTGTCTTAGAGGGTATCGTACGCAATCTCGTCTTATTTTCAAATAGTTGTTGATTCTGTTTGACAATACCAACTTCGAATATATATATTGATGGCAGGGTCATAATATTTAGTTTAATAAAATATGGCCTACAGGTATCCCTGCTCTGTAAATGACATATGCTCCTAACACATTTTTTCTGGGCTCTAAAGGCAGTTACAGAATCAGTCGAATATCCCCAAAATATAATGCCGTATCGAACAGTAGACGTATGCGTGATAAGCTGTAAAGACCGTGCACTGATTCGCGATCTTACTAAGTTTGCATAGTTCACAAGAATACTGGGACAACTTTTTGCAAACATGTTCAATATGTGTTTTCCAAGTCAAATTTATTATTATAGTACTGATTAAGGTACTGATTTGATAAAAAAAACGTGCTTGATTTATTTATGTCGTATGTAATGGTATTTTTATATCTTATAGCTTAAATACAATGATGTCACAACTTACCTCGGTACCTGTCACAACTTACCTCGGTGGTAGGAGAGTTGTGACAAGGGGAGTGGACTTGAATTTTGTTATTTTTTTCAGAAACTATTATACTTTAATTAATTTTACTGATAGTTTTGAAAACAGAAGGAATGGCTCTAAACTAATTCACATGAGTCATAACTGTGGCATGTTTCTTAAGCGAGATAGAGCCCCTTATGTAAAAATTGTCACAACTCTCCTAGGTCTCCCCTACACGGTACTAGTAAACCTATTAAGGTTTATTTCAATGAGTTCGTAAGGTATCCAAATATCCAACTTTTTGTGTACTCAACTTTTTTCAAATGCGCCAAAACTGTTTTGTAGTATAGGCCGATCTTGCTCTACTTTTGCAAAAATGACATCCATTTTATTATTAACGGGGCGACCGGAGCGACGTGCATCTTCGACATCAAAATTTCAGAACTAAAAACGCTTAAACCAAATTTGTGCTACTCTCACAGAAACTGCATTAAGTCCTTAAACGTCACAAATTTTTTCGTGGCTTGAGTTGCATTTTAACCTTTATTGTAATAAAATTTTAAAATGTATGGAATTTCTTAATTAGATTCATCCATTTTGCCAGTAAAAAAAACACATGAAATTAACACATTTTCCTAATTTGTATTATAAATTTTTGAATGTTACCAAAACTAGCCTACTAGATACAAATATAACCAGAGAGATTTTATATTGCAAGTTTATGCATATTATATGCGAAAAGACTATTCCTAACCTAATATTAAGATAACATTACACACATTTCCCAAATGTGGCAATGACAGTTTCGTTAGCATTCGTTCACTGTCGGATTCTATTCATATTTTTTTTTCTGATGTTCCAAATGTTGTTCACATATTACTCCTCCATGTTTAAAGCATTCCGTGCTAACAAGTTTTGATTGTAAGAACATCCTAGCTATTCTTACCTATGTCTGATATGTGGCTTAAGCTTTGCCTTCCTTGGTCTTCCTATTCACTGCCAAATTTAACCACATAAGGAATGAACGTGCTATCGGTTTTGGGGGTGGCGTCTCTGCATATTTCCGTGCAAATATTTCTTTCTCAGTGATTGGTATTTCAGCACAACCACCAACGGCTGATAGCGGCATGCATCTTTTCTTAGAGGTCGAGCTGAGTCACTCTAAAATTCTTTTAGGCATGTACTTTAGCCCATTATTACAATAAGAAATAACTTCTTTCCTTCTTTTAAATGTAAATTAGATCTTCTCTGTCCTTACAGTCACACTATAATCATGGGAGACTTTAACACCTGTCTCCTTAAAAATGACCCCCGTTCGGCAACATTTCGAATAGCTCTGCAATCTATAGTAATATATATGTTTGAAATATATTTATTTATTTATTCTTTATTGCATTTTAACACAATAGGCGGACTTAATGCCAAAGGCATTCTCTGCCAGTCTACCAGTAACAGATCTCAATGCTACTCAATTTTCCCAATTATTGTCCTTCTTATAATCATCTCCTCTCCTCAAAACATTCTAGTCGATGCCTTCTCGTACTATGACTTGATTTCTCTCTCTTATAAGGTTTGTCCACCGAAGGTCAAGCCTAGAATTTTGTTACAGCGCAATTTTAGTGGTTTTAATCTTGATAATCTCCGCGAGGATGTCATTAATGTGGACTGGTTACAACTCCTTCACTGTGACACGGTGGATGGGGAGCTCGGGTTGCTTATGTCTCATTGCCCTTTATGATGTCCACGCACCGATTCATCTGGTCAAAATGAAGGAACGTCAATCACCGAGGCTCACGGAAGAGATAATATAATTATTTAAAAGTAAAGCTGCAGTCAAAACCAAATACAAATGTCAACCTGCCAGACATTATGAATCTATCCAATTGTGCAAAATATTTGAATCTCCGCAATCAATGCAATAAGGTGTTTAAGAATGAACAACTCCAATTTATTCATAACTCCGTTGAAAATGCGGATCCAATATAAGTCTAGAAATGTTTGGAATCCATGGGGAACAACGTCAAACATTTCCGACAACCGCTTTAGATATTAATCTACTGAATAAAGGCTTGTTCTTATTGCGATTTTGATTTAACAAAGAAGTAGAATACTATGAATCGTCTTTCATCTCTTCCGTTGTTGATCGAAGGTCTTTGACAAAGAATATGAAAGATAAGGGAGATGTGATAAATTAAATGAGACATTTTTCATAGAGCCTGCGTATCGTTATAATGCCCTATAAATCTCTAAAATTGAAACTTTTATAAGCTCTATGTATCAAAACTTTTGTCGTCTCTTAACTAACAACAACATCTGTCATGTTCATTGTCAATTTGACGTTTACTGCTGTTGACGTTTGATGTTTATAAAAATTCGTGTTCTTTTTTGTAAACTTCCTTCAATAATTAAAAGAAAAACAGAAATTGTGTGGTATAAAATAATTTCCTTCGCTAGTATATTATATTATAAAACTAATCAAAATGCCGTCAATGAAAGTGGAGGGTGATAGCGATGGTGATGGTGACATGTCTGGAGGTGATACGGAGCGTTCTGGAGGATCATCTCGAGGTCCTGATAGGGACTCTAGCGCCGAGGAAGCTGACGAACCCGACTCTGATGATTCATCAGAGATGGATGAGAGTGAATGTGAGAGGCGCCGAAATGAATGCTTGGACAATTTAGGTTAGCTTTTGAGGTTATGTTTACAAACAATTCATTTATTTATAGTTTTCCAGTTTTGTTATTTCATAAAATAGGTTATATGATTCTAACTTAAACAAATAGAGATAAAAAATATTCTTTAAATCATAAAGAAAAGAATAAGAAAGTACCAAAGAATATGAAGTAACCTACTTTTATTCAGAGCTTTATTATTCTTCGGAAAATATCATTTTAGTTTAATTATAACACATGGTTGATGTTTGTAATATATTAAAATGAATATAGTATTAAATGAATCTTATAAATATTAGAATATTCGTTATATAGAAAAATACTTAAAAAATTCACCAGCTCTAAGCACCTAAGATGGTGGCACTTGAGATAGACTGGTATTATCGACAAATGAATACTCTTCATATATAACATATAATATGCATACTATGTTTTTGTTGTGACCCAATAACAATCATTGTATTCAATCATATTCAAAGATATTTTACTTAAAAACACAATGAAAATAGTTTTTTTGCCCTTATCTCAGCATACAGACAATGGGGTAGTGAGTTTTTTTTTATACTATGTGTAGATATTAACACTTGTGTAAATTAATTCAATTTAATCTCCATGGTATGATTTCTACCTATTGTTAAAGTACTTATGTTTTCTACTTCCAGCAAATTTAGAACGTCAATTTGCTATTCTGAGAGAGCAACTTTACTGTGAGCGTGTAAAACATGTTGAGTATCAGCTTGCAGAAGTGCGCGGTGGTCGTTCTCAAGAGTACCAAGGGCCATTGAGAAGGCTCCAAGAGAATATGAGGATAAGGTAAAAATTTGTACATTGTATGTTATATACTGTTATTTATTAAATCACAATTTTAATAATTTTTAAGTGCCTGTGTGCATTATTTATAAGCTTGGTCTAATTTCGGTACATATAAATGCAGCAATACTTTAAAACATGAAGTTTACAATATGTTATATTAAAAATACCTTAAAGATAAGTCTATATTGGGTGATAGTATAATTTGTTGAATATTGATATTTTTATACATTATGTTAGTATCCAAAAACAGCTTATTGATTAGAACAATTAATTTTATTTTCTATATTCGCATAAAATTTTTAAATTTGTTATAGGAGGTCATATATTTTGATGAAATTTGAACGGAAGAGTGCCTGAAAGATCTTAAGTACACATACAAGAAAAATTGCAGGTGGAAAGCTCATGTATTTATGTATCAAAATTATGAAAAACTTTTTTCTTAATCATTAAAGTGTAAATGATTCACAAGGAGTCATCACTTTTATGTGTGAGATTGTTTTGCAAAATCTTAGACAAGCCTCCATTTATACTTGGTTGTAGTGGTGATAAATAAAAAATTGAACAATAAATTAAGTTTTAACATGTCTAAAAATGTAATAAAATCTATTAAATACATGTACTTACACCCAATCTAAACTTGTTTTATTAAATATTTGATGTTTGCAAAAAAAAAAGAACATAAAGTTAAAAATTATGAATCAGACTTTAAGTTGTAACAAGCTTTGAAAAATATATATTTTCAATAATATTAAGACAAAATAAAGGCCTGTCCTTTGAATACCAATAACAAGTTTAACAATTTTATGTGAACAAAAAGTTTCCAAAGGCATAGATTATTATGATAGCTTTATCAGATACTTCAAAATGTCTTCTATAATATTATATGGCATGGAAGCGGCTTTTTTATATAAATCAATAAGAATTACCCTTTAAAACTTGTTAGGCTTATTTACTGTTTTGTTATGAAATAATATTTCTTTTAGTGAAACTTTTAATAAGCACTAGTATTTTGACGCAATGTAGTAAAACTTCTAGAAGAGATTTTTTTATAGAACATATAATGAGATTTTACTCTGTCATTTAACATATGAAATGAACCAGTATACAGAAGCTCATAATCCCTCACACAATAGGGATGTTATTTTTTACTTTTTGCACAGTGAAAAAATTACAGCTATATGTTGAGATAAAATGTTGCATGACGTCGTGCTTTTGTATATTTTCTACAAAACTATGACGTAGCGAGCACCCACCCTTCAACTTTAATGCCTATTGTCTAAGCCCTTTCTTGTTAAAATTGAAGCAAAAAAATACATGTCTAATATTTTTCTAATATCTGACGGACGGACTAAATAGAATTTCTTTTTTTACCCCGTTGTCATCCCTATTGTTCAATAACTGCATTAAAAATACAACAGCCATCCTCACCTCATCATCACCAGTTTCTTAGTATCCCACTGCTGGGTAGCGGTTTTCGGATGGAATCAAATTGTGCATGAGAATGGCCCCTAACCCACTACGCAAGCCCATTGCGGATTGGTAGGTGTTAACCCCTGTATAAAAGAAAGTTTACTAGGTACCTATGGAATTTTATTTTACGAATGAAATGAACCTAGATGGTGGTACTACGTTCGACTGCCAATTCTAGAACGGAAAATCTATAAGTTATAATATATTTAGAAAATATTTTTTTACTCTTAACAATTTCGAACTGCATGATTCAAAAATAAAAATGTATTTAAGGTAGTAAAAGAAACCCGATGAACTTAAAAAAATAAATAATAATAGTAATAAACTAAAAAAGTAATTTAACTATGTTCAAAAGAAAATCGAAAGCATTACATAGTTAATTGATTGACACTAGATTAGACACAAATGTTTCAAAATATGTGGCGCCATCTAGCAGGTGGATCTACGGATCTACGACTTTATCTAACGAGGGTAAAAATGTATATCCCTCAACACGCTTCCGCATTTTTTTCGTCTCGAATCAACATTCGTGATTTATTTGGATTTTTCATAGATAGAATGATACGGAACTTTTCGTGCGCAAGCCCGTCACACACTTGGCTGTTTTTTTTCTCAGTTAAAACTATTAAGATTAACTTACAACAAAATTTATTTAAAATAATATAAATAAATGAGTAAATAGCCAAACGTTTCGAGCATATCTATAAACAGATATGCTCGAAACGTTTACCAATTAGTCGACTTGAAAATGATTTGTAAAGTTGAAGGTAAACTGATGACACCTAAATCCTTATTTATTAATTTAAGGCAATCGACATCATTAAGAAACCTCTCTTCTTTGTTAACTTTTATTAGTTTCCTGCGACTTCGCACGCGTAAATTACCGCAACCCGCGGGTGAAAGAATTTTTGATATCGGTCCAGTAGTTTCCATGTTTCTCTGAGGTCTTAAATAAAATAAACTTTTTTGTATGTATTGGATTAAAACTAGCCTTTTTAAGAGAACTGTATATCCATAGGTCGCTGGTTCATATCCGGCTCGAAGGACCACTTAATTGTTGCATTAAACAAGCCTTTTTAAGAGAAAACGTTAATTATTTATTTTAAATAATTTATATAAAATTGAGCACACTCACGAGGTACCAGAAATCGAGAATAGAAAAAAATGGCAATGTTGCCGACAACGAAACATATAAAAAGTGATACCAGTTAAAATTATCAAATACTACTTAACAATTATTATATGTTCATGAATTGAACAGTATGTCTTATCTATCTAAATTTATTTCATACTAGCTGACCCGGCAGAGATATAAAAAGATATATATCCTTTTATTAATGTTCTTATGTAAAAACTTTGTCTTGACAATAAGGAACACATAAAAAAACTCATTATATTTCGTGCAGTCGTTTAGAAATTGTATCTATATAACTTCTGACTGCACGAAATTTAAAGATTCTTTTATAGAATATTAGATGTTTAGATTACGTAAGTATTTATAAATATATACGGACCATACGTATATGATATGTGTTTTATATTGATGCAAAACAGAAGAAAACCCATTCCCTACGTATACATGCACAGGTATAATACTATATAAGTAGTACTACTAATATACTACCCATAAATAAATTTCAAATTCATGTAAAGAATATTCTTATGAGTAAAGGCTATTATAAAGTTGATGATTATTTTAAGGATCGCAATGCATGGAATTAATAGCCTTCGCTTTGTTCTATAAAGACTAATTATATGTTCAACCTTTGTCCTACAGACTTTGAAAGTTGTATTTACTATTGTGATAATACATATTATTTTGGTAATGACATGATTTATGTAAATGTCATTTCATTACTTATGATAAAAAGCTGGTATGTTTCTTTCGCTTGTTCTTCTTGTCAGCTAAAAGACGTCCTGAACAAGTGGTAGGGGAAAAAAGTTTTTTGGACGTTTCAAAAGTGCTTGGCATAGCCTACTTGAATAAAAATATTTTCATTTCATTTCACTAGTTTATTTTGTTGGCGTCTTGCCTTTTTGGCCCAACTATCGATGCACGCTGGTGAATCTTGAGGCTCAGTGCCCCTCGGCTATACCAAGTAAATAAGTGTGCGGCCACACGATACGTTGCGGAGCCGCCGTCCAGTTGCGGCTGTTGCGGTGTTGCAGCGGCGTGACGTTACTGACTGAGCATACGTTACAAACATCACTGACGTTACGGCACCACGCCGCTAGAGACCGCCACTGCAGCGCATCGTAAACGCATCGCGCACACTAACAAAACCCCTACTAAATTGTCAAAATAAAGCCCTGATTGATATGTCAGGTCGCCTGATCAACTGCGGATCAATCGGATTGGTGTTATGAGTGGTATACGCGTGATTAAGTAAATAAGTAGTAAATAGATTTTAATTTCTTACGTAGTGATTGATTAAGTGTAAACACATAAATAAGTGTTAAGTAACAAGTTAAACTTTATTTAACTACATATCATATGTGTGTATGATATTTATATGTGTAATGTGATTTGTATGTAACTGTATCGATGTAGACATTTTTCATCTTGTAATTCATCATTTGCATTTTTCTGTTTGTTGCACCGCTCTTATAAATTTTCTGTCCATAACTCTCCTGTTGACTCTCCGGTAGAGAACGCCTTAAGGCGTTAAGTCCGTTATTTGTATATTTTTTTATTGTGTAATAAAGAATAAATAAATAAGAGCTTCATTGGAATTACATACCAACTAGCTACTTATTTTTGTGTACACGTAGGTACTAAATTAGACACTTAAAATTATGACGACCTTACACGTTATTAAGTAAATTATGAACTTAATTTTAAGTGATTAATTTAGTATTAACGAACAAATAAGTAATAAGTAGCAAGTTAAATAAGTAGTTAACTAAATTTTATTTACTATTCATTTACTTCATTACGTGTAAACCAGTAATTAAGTTAAAATTTACGCTCTACTCATCTACTTAATTACCTGTAAACCAGCCGTTAAGTTGAAAATTTATTTACTAGTCATCTACTTGATTATGTGTACCAGCCATAAGGACAAATCCTGATTGACTCAGCCGGTTGGTTTTACTCAAAGGAAAAACGGTTAAAATCCAATAACGTGTTTAAGTGGAATAACAACATCATTCTAATAGATCAATAAATAATGAATTTAGAAAATAAACCATGAAATACAACATATCGCTTGTCCCGGCTTTTTGGTCAGACTTACACTCTTATATAGATTCGAGATTAAATAATTACTTGAAAAAATGATTAATAGCTTCAAATATAGTATTCATACTTTGTTAAACAAATTTGCTTAAGTAATTACTTATACTCGACTATAGATACGGGTGTAACAAACGTCCTTTAAAACTGACGAATTTTTAAATTAAGAACATTCATTAGAGCTTAACGTCGTCGTTGGACATTGAGGAACGGTTGTGCAATTTGGGCATTAAAGTATTAAATTCATTTAATTCCTCAAAGTCAGATTAGACGGATTCACTATTCTATCGATTGTATATTGTTTATGATTATTATTTTAAGTCATTTATATTTTTGACAGCATGACTAAATAAGCTGTGGAAAGCTACCTACTGACTGACTGGTTAATAAAAAAAAAACAAATTAACCTCTTAAATGCCACCATTTATTTCATTTTTGTTGAAATAGTCTTTTATTAAAGTTAAAATTGATGAATATTTAAGGCATTTTGTAGCAGACGTTTTTGAATTACAATTAATAATTGTTTACATGTCATTAAAAATAGTTTTTGAAGTATGCGATGAAAGACTGGATTGCACTGTAATAGCAGTTAGTTAAGGTTCATATTATATTTGATGAATATTGTCACTTTAAAATTGACTGGTGAATCTTGGCTTAGTAAAACAATAACTATAACCAGCGAAGCTTGGGCGGTCATTATCGATAGTTAAAGTTATGACGTAATCGTCCTTTGCCGAATGGTGCAACTCATTATTTGCTTAACCGGAACTTTAACATGTTTGTGATTATTATAGTAAGTTTGTGCAACCAACCTCTAATGTCACTTAAATACGGCTACGTATGTGGCCGTAGTGTAGTGTGTGTATTGTAGAGTCGACAGTTCATATTATACAAAACTGACGAATTTCACCATTTGATTTAGAACCTTATGCTTCTAATGTAGAGTTAAATAATAATTCCGATTATGAGTAAAATAGATATTAAGTATTTGTATGAAAATCATTAAACTCCAATCGATTTGATTTGCAATCTTAATCTTAATACGGTGTCGTTTAATCAGAAATTGGCTTAAGAAGTGTGGACTCTGACACTCGTATCTATAGTCGAGAGAAGTAATTGCGTGAGAATATGTCATAATTTAAATAATAGACGCGAATTTGTATAAAGAACGCACTGTAATTAGTTAATAATAGTAGTATCCTAACTATTAATAGACCTTACTTCGTTCAATCTCATGTTTATTTATTAAAATATCTGCTTAAGTTATGATTTATGACATATACTCAACTAATTACTTCTGTCGTCAGTACAAAAGAAACCATAATATTAAGTGGAATTATATTCTTGTTATAGAATCGAAGTTGCTGGAGTCTTGAAGCAGTTACGTATGGAGAACATCAAACACACCTACGAAGCTGAGGAACAGGCCGCTCATCAGCATTTTAAGGTAAGATTTTATATTTTTTCAATGGTTACTAGTAATAATATAATAGGTTTACAAACAACGATTAAGCAGTTACTATAAATTTTTTTTAGTCCATTTTTTTAATCATTTAGTAAAGCAAAAATTTGTCTATAAAAATCGCGTGACTTCTATACTAAGAACTTTCATTTTAATAGAATTCGAGATATTTCTATACATTGGTGTGCCTGCTACCTTGATACACATAACTTCCTTTGATGATCGTACGAAAACCGGATTATCGTCGATCATGGGCCATTATAAGGGATCATGCCGTCTACACAATGGTGATGGCCTATGATCAGTAATCACCCATCATTAGCGATTGTGTAGAGGGGCTATGATGATTGTCCGATAAACCGATACAGTAGATACAGTGATGGACGATCGTTGCCGATCATGATCGGGTTCCACGAAGCACGCATTGAGAAATGCTGCGCTAGAGCAATTTCTGGTCCGCTGGAGGTATTGAGGAGGGTATTTTGAAAAATCGTCGCTGTCGTCCTAATTTTGAATGTATAAATATTTTAAGGACATCAATTTGACTAAACCAAGAACTTTTATTTAAACCTATTATATTAATTACAGACCGCTAACCAACGTTTGAATTAATTTCTATATAGTGCTATAAAAGAAGCTAAGCAGGTGACTGAATAATGCTCTCTGTCTATTTATTTTACTTGATTAAAATAGTCTTAGAAACGCCTATGTGGTAAGTCTTTTACGTATGCTATTTTATTTTAATTTTGTATGATTTTTAAAACATTTATTTACGTTTAATATTAAATAAACAAATCAGACAACATCACATACAAAGCACCCGTATTATGGAGTATACACCCGTATATGGAGTCTGGAGACAATATAGAAAAGTCTATTTTCTACATTGACCCGACCGGGATCTCAGAGAACACCTTGAAACCGGCGTGCAAACCACTAGTCTACGGAGGTCGATGTTTTACATATTTAACCAAACTTTCCAGCCAAAAAACCATGTTCAATTTTATTTAATATAGGATTTAAACGATCACAATTTTGGAGAGTTTCTTCGTTGTATAAGGTAATGTATACTAACTAGTACATACATATATGATTGTAAATAATATGTATTTAACCATTCGAATAGAGACTGTGGTTTTGGCTGACTGGCTGACAAAGCAACTGATAGTTAGGTTTTTCAACTAGCCCCCATTAATTGATCTTTAATGTTATGTAAATGAAATGGTTATACCGTATAAGATAAACAAATTTCTTAATACAAAGGACAGAATAAAAATTGCAAACAGCCTAAAGGTTTCTCAAAAAGTAACATTTTAAGCATAGAATAACTAAAAATACCAATTAAAATTCCTGGAAACACTTCTTGTTACAAATAATATCTAACAAACGGCAAAGTGTAAATAAAAAAGCTTATACATCGCTTACTAACTGAAAATTATACATTCACTATCTGACCTTTTACCAAATACAAGTAATTAATTCATACGAATAATTGAAGTCAAATATGAAGAGAGAGGTCATCTAGAACATTTATTTGAAGTCATTAACCTCCCGTAGCACTATCAGTAGCGTCCGTGTAGCCACTAGGTAGCACACCGTAATGTTTACATATGCGCACACTAGATGGCGTTACTTGTACCATTCCGAGTCGTAGACGCTTGGTAGGTACGGAGTTTTATCGGATTGAAACAACAAATCTATATTTATAAATTGATAAACGCCTAATCAAAGATAAAATGCGCTTCTGAATTTATTTTAAAGTTAAATAAAAGTAATTCCTGACGCTTTAATTCATATTTCTAATTAAAAACACACTTTATAGGTTATGTTTTATATAGACGTCAAATTATAAATGATTAATGAACTGTCATTTTTTTCTAAAAGTAAGTAATTGAGATAATGCTCAATTTAGTTCTTACTTTAATTTTTCTGTTAATGACATTATAACATCTACCATTGTCAAATATGTCTTTACTGATTATCTAATATTATAAAAATACTTTACAACGTTTCATTTAGGTATTAAAACCATAAGCTAATATGGTATGAACTATAACGAAACAAAATATTAAAACCAAACAAATAAACTTATGTTGTTATGAATATCTTTGGAACTATTACCGCTTATATGATTACTAAAAGTTATTTCCATTGACATGTTAATCCATTTATCCGCTTAATATTCGTTTAATATACTTACAGCCAGATGCACAAACGTCCATAAATTTTCATTAGTTTAAATCTACGTTACCTATACCAATATGACATTCATTAGAGCTTAAAGGCGTTAATTATCCTTAATGTACATCTGTGCAACAGACCGTTAGTCTGACCAAGAGTACTCGCGTTATTAAAAATGAACAAAATATTACTCTTGAATTTCGAATCTGTAATTTTTTAAAGATTGTTTGTTGTCTTTTCTTATTTTTGTATAATATACATTATAATAAAAATGATATTAAAATGAAATGACTTCTTTTAAGTAATATTTAGCAGCAATGACTTAGCTCATGAGTAAGGAATACGTTAAGGATGAATTAAGAGAAATAGTTATAGGTTGTGTTAGGAATACTAGTTTGTGATGAGTAAGGAAATAGAATGAGACATAATAGGATGAATACGGAACAACCTCATAAAGAGAACCGCATCGCTGTGATTGCATTACATAAATTAGGTATGGAGCCAAACACAATTTTTAAAACTCACCTAACATTTGGTATTAGTCAAATGGTTTTGTACCGGGCTATTGATAGGTACAATGACACCTCATCTGTTTGTGACAGAAAAAGAAAAGACCTGTCCGTCCACGTAGTGTTCGTACGATAAAGGAGATTCAAAATCACACAAAATATATTCTAAATAAACTGTAATTAAAATAAAACAAATTCCGTAATATTGACAGTGTTGAAATTGACACTCGTAAACATGTATTTGAAATAAAGATTTACTTTGTTAGACAAGTTTCAATTTGTTAGAGTTAGACAACTTTCAATTTAGTCATCCAATGTTTGTGCATAATGTTTTATTACAATTGAATGAAGGTGCGTTTAAATTTCTAGTTCAAATTTATATTTCTCTTGACAAAAAAACCAATGCGGCTCTTAACAGTTTCTTTTAACAAGTTACGGCATTAAAAAAAAACTGAATTATTTACCATCTGATTATGTGTGAATTTTTATAAAACTTTTTTTTTTAATATTAACAAAATAAAGCTTCCTCTTTATTTATTACTGATGACCATTAATATGTGAATGAGTACTACAACCCCCTCTAATACAACCATCTCTTAAGAAATTTACACTAATTGGAAAGTGGATAAACTATAGCCAAGATATTATGATAAAATAATGTAATTCTTTGTTTCTCTTTAAGATAAATATTAATTTAATATTTTAAATGCAAAATTGGTGAAATATAATAAAAATATCTATGAATAATGAAGCTAGTTTAATTGATTTTGTCACGCTTGCTGTTTTTCTGAGACTTCGCCCGCATAAATTATAACCTACGCCACTAGCGTAATATGTAGTATACCATAAGTAAAATATTTTTATATATCGTTCTAGTAGTTTCTGAGTCATATGCTTACAATGAAATTTTTTCTCTTTAGTTTATATTATTTTACATAAGAAGTTACTGTTGTTGACCTAACCATTATTTTTACAAGTTTTTTTTTTTGCAGAACCATATATTTAATATTTGTATTTAAGCCTGTATGGCCAGAGGCCGCACCCTGGAAATTACATAAAATAAGTAAAACATTTTAAATATATCCACATATTTTTGTCATAGCGTATTAGTAATTTTAGAAGGAAACTCCATTATTTCACAATTTAGATTAAGCTGGAAAGATTTTCAGTTTTCCACGAAGGTTGTTTCATATATTACTGAAAAAAATTAATATTTACATTTAAAAGATAGTTGCCTCTAATCAGGCGTACATCATACGCGAGTGATGTAGGCTACAATATATGCGGCCGAAGTCGAAGGAAAACAGTTAGTTTTTTATTAGTTTAATATTACGTGTTCAATAAATTACTTATAAATATTTAAATTAATTATGTCATATTATTGTTGTATGTTATTTTGTTTAAATTATTTGTCAAAAGTGTAATTATGAAAAATCAATAGTGATTTAACTAATACCCTTGTTACTAGATCATCATCATCATCATCATTAGCCCTTTTACGTCCCCACTGCAGGGGCTCAGGCCTTCCTTATGGATGGTTAAGGAGGATGACCCTCCACGCTGGCCCAATGCGGATTGGAGGGTATTAACGACACGATCGTTGTCGTTAAACAACTTTCGCAAAAATCGGTCACGGGATGGGTGACCGATTTTTGCGAAAGTTGCTTAACGACAACGATCGCGGGCCGCGGCGCTTATTCACTACGCCACCGAGCTACTCACTAGATCACAAAATAATAAATATATCTGTCACCGTTGTAGGTATTGTGAGGAAGACATTGCACTAATAATATTGGAATTCAGGTAGATAGTATAATGGCAAGATCCAATTAATTGTGATTCTCTCTTGTTATTGCTATTGTGAGATCATTAATCTTTCTTCTTCTTCCTAATATTAGGCCTTTACCTATGAAATTGCCGTTTTTTCATGAAATAAATGATCTGTATTTTTTATTTCTATTAATCATAGTAATCACCCATGTAATGGTTGCCTCTTTGCCAACGCTTTAGTAGCTTATTGGTGCTTGAAGAAATCAGCAAAAATTCTTTTAATTTTTTTTCTCGCCAAGAAGTTATCCAATTTCTGCAAAAAAGTAGAAGTTTGCAGGCGCAAGGTCTGGTGAGTACAGTGGATGACGGAGAACTTTCAACCTCAGCTCTTGTAGCTTGGAGACCGTCTGCTGTGCAGTATGAGGTCGCGTGTTGTCGTGCAGGAGCAGTGGAGCCGAATTTACCAAATCTGGTTGGAGTGCGAGTTGGAGTGCGAAAGTTCTTCACAGTATACATATCTACTAA